TGTGTGTGTGTGTGTGTAGTATATATATATATATATATATGTAGTATATATATATATATATATATATATATATATGTATATATATATATATGGCTTTAAGTATACATTTCTGCGATAAACGCTTGTTTGGTCCCCGAGAACACGCCCTTCCCCATGGATTGCTCTGGTGCGCCAGGCTTGTCCAGTCTGCTTGCGGCTGCTTCCCCAGCAATCTGTAGAAGTGTCAAGACATGGCGCCGGACGACTTGTCGTTCGCCGTTTGTCTCATTGAAATACATTTGCCTACTGAAGAATTCGGAATAGTACATATTGGTATGAAGGTACGAATCCAGTTCAACGCTGCAACTGATTGCTCGCCCCCTTACCGAGTGCTGCAACTATCCTACAAATTGACCCGATTGCGCGCAGCTTGATGTGTTTGCGTGGTACTTCCTCAAAGGGTGGGTCCAAATACTTCGAGGATTAGGGCCAGGCCACTTCAGGCTCTTATTTGCCAGGTTTCACCTCGTTATATACACAGTGTGAAGTCATATCTAGACATATCTGTCAGTTCACATCTGCTCTGGAGCTGTGCTTTCGCCCTGTCACCGAAAACAACTTCTCTCCAACGAATTGTCCCGAAGCACCCAGCTTAGCGAGTTTGTCAGCTGCTTCGTTGCCAGGTATGCCCACGTGTGCAGACACATGGCGCCAGGCGACCTTAGTATTGTACCTAAGATTGTAGGCCTCCTCTGCGCTGTGGAGGGCCTTGAGCAGGTCGATGTTGGATAGGGCCAGTTGTCTCCCCTTGGCATCTTTCCAATTATTCATGACCCATTTTTTCTTCCATTTGGACATGGCATTGATAGTATATTTGCTATCGGACCTGATTTCGAGCTTTTCTATGCCGAAGACGAGTGCGGTGTGGATGGCATGCACTGCCGCCCGAAGTTCGGCGCGTTGATTGGTGTTGAATCCGTTCTGTAGTGGATGGCCGGTGTTCCTGGAAATACATATGTGTATTATACGCATGAGTACAAGCCCAATAGTATGACCAACGCGTACTCAATAGATTGCGCATGGGTTTGAAGGTAACGATATCGAATCACTGACTTCTGGAGTTTGGTGTGAAGAAGATTTGTAAAATGACCACACTACTTGAGTTTGGGATTAAAACGAGACCCCTTTCGATATAATATACATCAGAAAGCTTACATCGAATATACCTAAATATGTATTGGGCATTACTTTTTAAGTATATCCGTTGCAGTGAAACTGGATGAGAGTCTTCATGCTTGGAACAGGCGCTCATTAGAGTACACTCAAAGTGTGTGTATAATTCAAAGGCGCGTGGCATTGTGCTGCATGATTTAGGATCGGTACATACCCATCACAAGACATTGGAAGACTATGACGTCGGATCAGGTGTAAGTCACGCTGGGTATATAAACAAGTAACAGTCGAGGACGAACCTACATCACCACTAGATAACCTCCATGCAGAGAGAGCAGCACATCCTGATTGCCCGAGTAGAAGACGGACAACATATATCTCAAACACGACAACTACACAGAAAATTTTGAACAATCTGTACTGGGTATTGAAGCGTACCTGGCCATACGTGCAGTATTGCGCCGCGCACACACAACTAACAGTCTGCTTTGTGGCATTGCAAAGACACACGTACCATCTGTGGTTGTAGTTCCAAAAAACGCCGAACCCAGCTCGGGAGTGGATGGTCTGGTTATTCCCCAGAGCTGAGCCATCCACATACACCACCGCTCGCCCGCTTTCTATCTGCAGTAACCGTTGGTCCTCAGGCGTAGGTGTAAGCGACACCATTGGCAAGTGAATAGGTCTTTGATCAAGCGCTCCGTTCAGCTGTTCCAACTCCTTGTCTGTGAGCTCAAAGTGACTGTCCATGTACTTCTCTGCTGCGCTAGCCCCCTCGTCGTCGGTCGGTGACCTACTACTTGTGGTAGCACTCGGATCAAAGAAGGTTTTGTACAGCGCATCAATCTCGCTGGTCAGTACACTCGCCGGTGTGTCCTCTGAGAGTCTCGCTTGACTATATGCACCTGTTTCGCTCAATATACTGTCATTTTCTGGCAATACAGGCCCTTCCGATACCCTCGGCGCGGCTTTGACCCGCACGAGGTTCCCGTTCCTTAATTCGACAACGTACCCGCTCGATTCGCCCACACCTTGGCCTGAACCACTCTGGGTAGAGCACTCAAGTACCGCACTTCCCCGCTCTGTGGTGGTAGTCACTTGCTCTGCACCTTTGCTGACACACTCCACCGCTGGTTTTTTCTTTACCGGGGACGCGGAATTCATTACTAAGGGCCACACGGAGTAGTCGGACCCACTCACATCGTCCGATACGTGTGTAGGTACACCAGAGCCAACATCTTCGAGACGTCGATGCGCAAGCACAACTGGTTCCAGAGGGTTTTTCTGCGGTATGCGTTCTGATGCTATTGTTTTGGTGACTTTTTGTGATGAGAGTTGATCATCCACAGCACTAGTGATAAAATCTGATCCAGGAGAGGCGCGTTTAATACCACTAGGTTGCACATACCCTGCGCTCGTGTCTAAGAGCTCAGGGTTTCCAATTCGGTCGATTACCTGAGAGTTGCTGGCTGTATTGGTAGTTGCGCCTGTGTGAATAGTGGCGTCTCCGAAGGCTGTTTGATACGTTGTCTGGTGTCCAGCGGTAGGCCCGGGTATCGAATAATTGGGCAACGAGCGACTATGTCCCACAGACCTTGTTACCTGAGCTGGGTCAATGCCATTGTCTGATTGGAGTGTGTTTCGCGTTGCTGAGGCGTTCGTGTCGGCACTGGCATATGCTTCGGCTTGCTCGTGGGTGGGAAACTTCTTGAACTTGGCATTGGGAAATCCACTCACTTGGGATTGGCACTGGTCCCTATACATGGCAACAATCGAGTGACATCAATAAGATCACCGGTTAAAAGCAATCGCCGATCAGAGCTTGATTATTTTGTCTTGCTGGCGTTTGTACTTTCTATATGAATAGTTGACACGTGAATCGGCTTGTGTTTGGATACAGGTAGGTCGGCTTGGAACATAGAAGCACACTGTGGGGATCCTTACCAAGGCCCACAGGTAGACGGCCCAAAGGCATTACACCGCACAGCACACTCAGCCAGCCATACGCACACAACTTAATCCACGCCCGTAATAGAAGATAGCGCAAGAGATTAATCATCAAACTATACCGTTATACTAGACTACCCGGAATAGAACGATTCGCGTTCAAAAAAGAAATCAGTAAGGTTGCTTGTAAGTACGTTAAACTTGTGGCGTCAGATGAGAAGAAGCCCACCACTCAAGTTAACGTGGATGCACGTGAAAGAGAGTTACTTGTGAATTACATAGTATAGATGCTGACATCAGACAGCTCACACCCGTTCGATAGCCCCACATTAACGCTATGCCATTGATCTTCAACATACACACCCAAACGAAATACATCATATTTCCTTTGGTTCAAGGTGAAAGTGAAGTATATGTATACATGTGATACTGCCAGACTATACATATAATTAAACATGGCGCACAACACCCACTGAACGACTGCATACAGATACAACTTGTTGACGGTCTTATACGCAGGGAGGCACAGAAGAGAAAGTAACATTTACACATAGACCAGGTAGCACAGTGATCTGTCTATATCCGTTAACAGAAAGTATACATACATGGCTCCCAACAAATGAACATTTACGTCTAGAGTAGGTATCTATGCAAGTATGTATGTTTGTATATATGTGTCTGCGTGTGTGTGTGTACGTATGTATGTATGTTTGTATATATGTGTCTGCGTGTGTGTGTGTACATATGTATGTATGTATGTATGTATGTATGTACGTATGTATGTATCACATGTATGTATATATGTACGTATGTATGTATGTATG